AAGGTGTGTGTTACCTTAAAGCAAGTTAACCCTTCAGACTGCTCGGAGTGTGGTTACAATACCTGTGGGTAAAAAAGAAGGGGGCAGGGGTACCTGGGTGGCTCAGTCGGTTAAGCATCCGATTTTGGCTCAGGTCATGATCTCATGGTTTGTGAGTTCAAGCCCCGCATTGGGCTCTGTGCTGACAGCTCAGAGCCTGGAGCCTGCTTCAGATTCTGTCTCTCTGTCTCTCTGTCTCTCTGTCTCTCTCTCTCTCCCCCTCCCCATTTGTGCTCTCTCTCTCTCTGCCCCTCCCCCCCCACTTGTGCTCTGTCTCTCTCTCTCTCTCAAAAATAAATAAAGCATAAAAAAACCTTTTTTTTTTTTTTAAAGGAGGGGGATTAGAATATAAAGAAACTTTGGCAGGACCCATAAGGGTAAACCACAAATAATGGCTTCTTGTATCTTATGTGCGAATGGACGTGTGTAGGTTATCTCTGCGGAAGAGTTAACACAGCAGGCTGGAGACTGCTGGCATCAGAAAGGCCTGTATTCTGGCAACTTGGATTTCTAGTGGGTTCTCACCATTCCCAGAACGGATAAGGGTGGCTCACTGCAACTGAACTGTTTTTGTAAACGATACGATTTACGTCCAACACCTGCTATCGGTCTGGGAGTCTGGAATTTTGGCCCGTGCTAGGCAGAGGGTGCCTCCGTGACCAGTCCCCAGTAAAAACCCTCGTTGCTGCGTCTCTAATGAGTTCCCCTGGTAGACAATATTTTACATGTGCCTTGTCGACTGGTTGTGGGGGGAGTTAAGTGCTTCCTGTAGGAAGCTTGTGCCTGGCTTGTGCCAGTCATTATTACCCCATGGGCCTTTTCTCTATACTGATTTTGGTTTGTGTCCTTTCACTATGAAGAATCATAGCTGTGGGGGGGTGCCTGGGTGGCTTAGTTGGCTAAGTGTCCGACTCTTGGTTTTGGCTCAGGCCATGATCTCACAGTTGGTGAGGTCGAGCCCCATATGGGGCTCTGTGCTAATAGTGTAGACCCTGCTTGGAATTCTCTCTCTCTCTCTCTCTCTCTGTCCCTCCTCTCTCTTTCTCTCTCTTTCTCTAAATAAATAAACTTTAAAAGAGAAAAAAAAATGGAATCATAGCTGTGACTCCTCCTTACGAATCATTGCACTTGGGGGTGGCCTTGGAGACCCCAACCCAATTTCTGTCCCTCTCTCTATCTATAAAAGTTCCAAACCACATACATATATTACCTAGGAAAATTTTTAAAAAATGAAAGTCCTTTATATTTGCCTAAAAGCCCCATTCAATCTATCTCCCTTCCTTCCTTTCTTTTTTTCTTTCTTCTTCTGTTTTCTATGCATTAGATCTTGCCTCATGAGTATGTATTTTCCATTAAAATTAAAGAAAAGGTTAAAGTCTATTGCCTTGCCTTATATTTACCCAACTAAAAGCCCCAGCCAAAATATTTTCAGAGAGGGGAACGTGGTGGGGGGCAGGGTGGGGAAGAGAGAAGAAACCCGAAAGAAAAGAATACAACAAATTTTGCTGCCTCGATCTCTAAGGGGACAGAAAATTCTTGTAGTTTTTAAATGGGGCAGTGTTAGTTATTTTTTGTTTCATAAAAAAGCTTTTTCAGTTTTTACACATTCATGTTTCAAAATCTTAGGGCATTGTTCTGGAAACATTTGTCCATCTTTATATATATAAAACAGTCCAGCCCATAGCTGGAAATACGGCTCTGTCATTCAGGAGTACATTTTTGTCACAGAGCTTAAAGTCACCTTTGGGTACCACACATTAAAAAGAAAAAAAGCTTTTATACAAAGAAAGGGTGTAAAAAGATTACAGAGATATAAGCAAACTCACTGTGTGAACACTGAGTGACTCCTGAATCAGAAAAAACAAAAACATCTATAAAGGATGGCCTGGGGACAAATTGGGGAAATTTAAATGTAGAATCAACATGAGATGGTGTTACGGGATTATTGTAAATTCTTTTAGGGGTCATCCTTATTTTAAAGATACAGGCTTATGTGCTTGGAGCTAAAATGTCATGTTGTTTGCAACTTACAAGTGATTATGAAAACAAATGTGTACGTAAATATCCACATACGAAGACAGAAAACCGATGGGGCTCACTCTCACTCAGGCAGCAGACATACAGGCTGCATGGGACAATTCTTCCCACTCCTCTGTAGAGCTGAAGGTTTTCAAGATAAAGTTGGGCAGAAAAAAGAAACATTTTATTTAAACAAACAGGCTGTTGATATAATTGAAGTTAAAGTAGAATGGTATCGTATCCATTATTAGAAAAATCAATAACCACTCTGCTACTGAATTCACCACATTGATTTAGGGAGGACTTGGTATCTTTTTGAGTAAAAAAACCCCAAAAAACCATGGACTCTCTTTACACTTGACTACTGGACAAGGGGCACTTGAACTGGTTAAACAGCTAGTGAAACGAATCAGATGACTGGTCACTTCATTTGATTAATCTGTTTAACCACCTTCCTCTCAAAATTAACCTAAGGTGAATTCTTCAGCCCCTGCTATGGACAGGACGCTGGGGACAATACATTCCTAACTGTGGGGTCTGTAGTATCACTGGGGAGCTACGAGATACAAATCAAAGGTCAATACAAGAAAGCATAATCTATATGCTCAATACAGAGTATCATTTCTCAGGATCTCACCGTATGAAGCCTGGTCAGTGTTCACTGATCACAAAGCCTCACCCCTCCGTTACAGATGAGAGAGTAGATTGAATTTTATGTAGTCAGAGTTTTTAATGTTTCCTTTAAGACACTGGGGTTGGGGCGCCTGGGTGGCGCAGTCGGTTGAGCGTCCGA